CTGCAGAAAATATCTGCAAAAGAAACACAGAGGCTTTTTAGGGTGGGGAAAATACTCTATATGTGTACTCTGTAATGGTGGATATATGTCAGTACACATTTGTCCAAACCCATAGACTGTACAACATCAAGCGTGAATGATAATACAAACTATAGATTTTGGATGATAATGATGTGTCAATGCAGATTTATAGATTATAACCAATGTACCACTCTAGTGGGAGATGTTGATAATGAGGGAACCTATATGTGAGAAATCTCTGAATCTTCCTTTCAATTTTTCTGTTAATCTAAAATTTCACTAAAAAATAAAGTCTTTTTCAAAATAAATTTTTTAAAATATAGGCTTTTCATGCCATATAAACTATATCACTACTACTCAACTGCGCTATTATGCAAAACAGCTATAGACAAATGGACATGAATGTGCTCCAATAAGACTTTATTCATTAAAAAATTGTCAGTAGGCCATATTTGGCCTATGACCATAGTTTACCATCCTGTGCTGTAAACACTTGAACTTGGCATGTCTCTGATTTTTGGCCCTTCATGCTACTCGGGGTATGAGTTATCTCTACCATATGCCCCCTGCCCCCTATTTGATTGGTGTCCAGGCTACTTTAGAAGAGAAGTATTTAGGCAAAATTCATATAATATCCAAAAATGAAAGTTATCACCTTCCCCCAACAAAGTTTCTCTTCTTACAATAGCCCGTATCATAGTGATTCACAGCATTGTTCATTCAGGCATTAAAGTTAGAAATCTGGTCGCTAGTTTTAACTTATCTAATTTCTCATCTGCCAACTGATTTACAAATTTTAATGATTCTCTCCTCAAAACACTATTGCATCTGTCCCCTCCTCTGACACCACACATCTCTTATGTTATGTCCAGGCCCTTGTCACCTTTTGGTTAGACTACTGTGATACCTTCAAACAAGACCAGATTACTTGCAGTCCCCCAAATACGCTATGATGTTTCACATATCTTTGCCACTACATATTTCCATTTATCTAGAATCCCCTCACCCTTAAATCCTACTCTTACCTCATCTTCCTGGTGAACTCATAGTCATTATTCAAAACCAGGTCAGACTCTCCTCTCACATTTGATAATTTGCGTCCTTAAGACTACTTGTATTAAAAAGTATATAATTGGCAATCCCAAGATATATGAGGTGTGACATTTCAGTTTGCAAACTCATCCACAAAAAGTGCTACATACTTCATTGCTGAATATCACGATGGTCACCTTCAAACTATTCCCTTTGGGAAGCTATGCACTGATGCCAGGACCTATTCCACCTGTCAAAGCAATTTTGAAACTCTTTTTCTGCAATGGCCATAAGAGCTGTCGTCATATTACCCCTGATGTCCTGAATGTCATCAAAATGTCTTCCTTTCAATATTTCTTTTATCTTTGGGTAAAGAAAAAAGTCATTGGGAGCCAGATCAGGTGAGTAGGGAGGGTATTCCAATAGTTATTTGTTTACTGGCTAAAAATTCCCTCTCAGACAGTGCTGCAGGAGCTGATGCATTGTGGTGAAGCAAGAGCTCCTTCAGGACCACTTTGCACATACCTTTCTCATGTCAAAATTTTCACTTAAGATTTTCCTAGGCCAGGCTTGGTGGCTCAGCCTGTAATCCCAGTACTTTGGGAGGCCGAGGCAAGTGGATTGTCTGAGCCTGTGGGCTCGAGACCAGCCCAGGAAACTTAGCGAGAACTCATCTCTACAATAAATAAAAAATGAAGCCTCAATTTCTCAATCAACTAATCTTTGATGAAACCTCCAACAACAACCACTGGGGAGAGGAGAACCTATTCAGTAAGTGGTGCTGGGAAAACTGGCTGATCACATGCAGAAGATTGAAACAGGACCCCTACCTATCACCATACAAAAAAATTAACTCTAGATGGATCGAAGACCTAAACATAAAACCTTAAACTATAAGAATCTTAGAAAACGCAGGAGACATCCTTAAGGAAATTGAAACTGGCAACCAATTCCTGATCAGAACCCTAAATGCCCATATCTTAAGAAATAACATAGACAAGTGGGACCTCATCAAACTAATGAGCTTCTGCAAAGCACAAGAAACCATCAAGAGAGCAGGGAGACAGCCCACAGAATGGGAAAAATATATTTGCCAACTGTATATTTGACAAAGGACTAATGTCTAGGATCTACAAGGAACTCAAACACACCAAAAGGAAAAAACAAACAACCCCATTGAAAAGTGGGCAAAAGACATGAATGGACACTTCTCAAAAGAAGATATATGGGCACCTAACAGACACATGAAAAAGTGCTCAGCCTCACTCATTATCAGAGAAATGCAAATCCAAACCACATTGAGATACCAACTAACCCCAGTAAGAATGGCCATCATTAATAAAACAAACAACAACAGATACTGGCAAGGATGCGGAGGAAAGGGAATATTTCTACACTGCTGGTGGGAATGCAAACTAGTGCAACCTCTTTGGAAGACAGTGTGGCAATTTCTGAAAGAACTATAAATTGACCTTCCATTTGACCCAGCAATTCCTCTATTGGGAATATGCCCAGAGGAACTCAGATCATTCTCCAAAAAAGATACCTGCGCATGTATGTTTGTTGCAGCTCTATTCACAATAGCAAAAACACGGAACCAACCATGTTGCCCATCAAAGCTGGACTGGATAAAAAAATGTGGTACATATACACAATGGAATATTATGGAGAAGGACAAACAGGCACTTTGCAGCAACTTGGATGGATTTAAAGTTGATTATACTCAGTGATCTATCACAGAAACAAAGAACAGAATACCATATGTTCTCACTCATAAGCGGGCCTTGAGTAATTATAATACTATAAGAAAGGGATTGGCAGAAGCGGGAAACTGTAAGGGGAGGAGGGGTGGGATTGGCAGTTGAGGAAAACTGCTAAGGGGAGGGAGGGGCACACCTCATCAACAAGGGTATCTGAATATTCAACATTTGTATACCTAAACCTGAATCATACTCCAATCTTTATAATTTAAAAAAAATGAGCCAGGTGTGGTAGCACATGCCTGTAGTTCCTGCTATTGGGAAAGCTGAGGCGGAAGGATTACTGGAACCCAGCAGGTCGGTGCTGGGGTGGCAGTGAGTGTGCCACTGCACTCTAACCTGGGCGATGGAGTGAGACTCTAACTCAAAAAAAAGAAAAGATTTCCCTAACTGTTTCTCTTTCGATGTTTATTTGGTCTGCTATGCTTCTCACAGTCAGCCAGCAATTTTGACATACAATTTGATGAAATTTTGCAATGTTTTCATCATTCTGCTCGTTACTGGCTGTCCTGACCTCTATTCATCAGTGATGCTTTCTCTCCCCTCAGAAAAACGTTTAATCTACTTGTACACTGTCATTTTCTTCATGACATTATCCCCATAAACTGAGACTAACACGTCCCTGATTTCACTTCCACTCTTGCCAAGTTTAACAAGAAATGTAATGTTTCTTGTTTGTTCTAATTCAAGTTCTGACATTCTTGCGACAGCACACAAAAACATGCAACAATAATGAAAGCCACTCAGCAGGATACCACTGCACCTCAACATGAACACAGCTGTGAGACACTGAGATGCCAAGGTTATGAAAACTTACCAAGTTGATTGTACAGTGCTGTCAATGTAAGCGCATGGTGACAAGTTCGCAAACTTAATTGTCAGACTTCATGTGTTCAAGAGCCCCACATTCATGAATAATGAACAAGTTAAGTATCTGCACCAGAATCTTAGGACTCAAATAATTAATTGGGCTAATAAATAAAATGAATTCTGTATTTCATTTCATCATGACTTTAGTAACATCAACCGTAAAGTTAACTTAATCTGAGAAGAAACAATAAAGTTCTTATCACTTCAGAAAATGTACTGCATACATAACCATAAATAAAGAACAGAGAGCAACTTTGTAGAAATCCTTGCTTTCACATAGTAGTCACACAGAATGTGAATCAAACATAGGTTTCAGCAAAATCACAAATTTATTCATGGAACAGACCTTTGGGACTAATTAAAACAGTAAGTATTAAATCCATAAATGTCAAGAGCCTACCGTAATTTTATTATTGTACTTGTATCAATGAACACTTGACACCCCAATGAGAACATGAGCTTCTTGGAGACAGATCTTCTGTTTTGTCATTCCTTTTATACTAAAGTTCACCTAACAGAAAGCAACCACTCCAAAAACATTTGTTGAATTAAATTGCCTCTTAATTGGTTTCCCTGCTTCCAGATCATCTTTCTCTCTAAAATCCTGCCAGTTCTTTTACAAAAACACATCTCTGATGTCACTCCATTCATTTCCCCAAAACCTTTGATGGCTGTTCAGAATCTGCTTTACAGGATTATGTCCCCAACAACCTGGCAGGGCATATGAGAGTCTTAACACCATGGCCCCAGCCTCTCCTTCTCACACACGCTCTCTTCAAGCCACACTAGCTGTTCCTGGAACACTTCTGGACTTTTATTACTCCATGCCTTTGCAAATGCTGTTTCTTTCCTCTAAAAGGTCCTCCCCCTCTCATCTGTCGAGAAAACGCGAATTGATTAATAAAGCTCAGCTTAAATATCACTACCCTGGCCCATCCCTGAATCGCCATTTCCCTCATTTGTTTTTCTTACCAATGTGTTTGTTCTGAAAATATACTAAGCTAATTCTACGGGGAGGGAAGGAGGGAGTGCCCTGTCAACGGACTTACCCAAGCAGCGACTGCGGCACTACGTGTTAAGCATATTGTTCAAACAGCAGTGGGAGGATGAGGCTGGATGACATTTTAGTCATGAGATGCTATGGTTCGCATCTTTCATACTGCGTGTGTGTGTGTGTGTGTGTGTGTGTAAGAGTGGGGGACGGAGGGGGGAGAGAGAAGAAAGGGGGCGAGACACAGATAAATAGAGACAAAGAGAAACAGAGATAGAGGGTGGACGCAGTGCAGGAAGATCAGATGGGCGGACCCAAATTTCTTCAGCTTTGCAGTTTTGCAGAGGTTCAGCTCTGCATCTATCGCTGAAGCAAGGGGTGAAAGGGTGGAGGGGGGAGGCGAAAAGGGGAAGGACTGCACTCCCTCTGAGCATGCCCAGCCTCGGTTGCTTGACATATCACCTTGCGCTCCAACTGGCCAGTTCCTCCACGCCTTGACCCACGCTTATTGTGCCAGACAGGGCGCACTCGGCAGTGCAGCCCCACAGGTGGCATCGGCTCGGTGAAACGGTTCCCGCCAGGCTAGGCAGTGGAGCGCCGCACAGCGCGCCTTCCCGCCTCCCAGCCACCGCCCAAGCAGTTCCGATCCAGCGCCAGCAGGCCTGCTCGGTCGATCTTCGAGCCGAAGATGCGGCGGGGTTGGAAGATGGCTCTGTCTGGGGGGATGCGGTGCTGCCGCCGGGTACTATCCTGGGTGCCAGTGCTTGTTATTGTCCTCGTCGTGCTCTGGTCCTACTATGCCTACGTCTTTGAACTCTGCCTGGGTAAGTGGGGCTGGGCACCTAAGGTGGGGAAATTATGCTCCAGCATAATCGTCTGCCCTACACTTCACTCTGGTGTCCCCTGTGTTCTCAGCCCTCACTCTGCGGTTTTTCTCTTGCTCCCTGGAGATCTCTCTGTCTCCAACCTCTGGCTCCCCAGAATATTTCCTGCGTCCTCTCACGAGGGTCCCACCGTGTCGCCATCGCCTTCCACCTGGAGTTTCTTATTTCCTTGTTCTACCCACAGTAATTCCCTGGCTCTTTCCACTAAAGCCTCTTTTCTCATACAGGACAACCACTTGCGCCATGTGCGCTCATTCTGGAGGCCCCCACTTAACCTAATAAAGGAATCAATATACCCTGTGTCCTTACACTGTCTGTTCACACTATGAGTTCCACCAATACATCTAACTAGAAGCCCCTCCATTTTACCTCCTACTAAAATCCTACTAGGATATCCCTACTAAAAATCCCAAAATATTTCCTGTACTACTTTACTAGCTCTCCTTTTTTCCACATTGGAATCTATCCTTTTCCCACCACCCTCTCACATTAACTGAGGTGCTTCATATCTTTGCCCACTTGTAACCCCACAGTACACCCTATTCTACCCCACTAGGGTCTTTTCTTTTCACACAGAGATAAGCCTTCCATTCTCTTTCCATGTGGTCTCTCCCCATTTTCTCATATTCTTTAATAGTATGGGGGTTCTACAATATATCCTTTCCCCTCACATGAGAGCCCCTGATTTTATTACACTGGGGTTCACTCCTGTCTCCTGCAGTTCTGCTTTGAGGCGTATTCAACTACTTTTCATTGGTAGCCCCATATTATTTTCTGACACCTCATGCTAGTGACCCTGCTTTTGTCACATGATGATCCTGGTTTTTTCCATGTCTTTTCCTACTGGAGTGATCTCTTTACCTTCCCACAAGTGTTTCCACAGTAAGTACCATATCTTGTCAAAGGGCTGCTACTTTTCTAATCATGATTCCTCCTTGTTATATTTTCTGGAAAACCTACTCCCCACCTCTCACAGTGCTCTTCCACTGTTAGCCCCACATTCTGCCATCTTCTTCCTTTGGTGTTTCTTGTTTTTATTTCCTTTTACTTCTCTTTAGGATTGCACTTGCCCCCTTTCATCTCAAACTGGAGAAATCCCATTCTTTCCCACTGGGGTTTCTTACCCTTCAAGTTGGAGTATCATAATTTGTTCCCTCTTTACACCACCCCTTTTATAATTCTGTGATCTTCTCTTTATAATTCTGTGGAGTCACACTAGGGAGCACGCCATCCCCTCCTTATTTATAAAATGGTTCCCACAGTGTAGCTTATGCATTCAAACTCAGAATTCCACAATATTTCCCAATACAAGCCCCAAAACCCTCCCATATATTTTCCAACTTGGATTCCCCCTGGTCTCCTATCCTTATTGTTGATGGCCATATAATATTCTTGTCAACTCACGGTGGAGTTTTTATATTATATCCTGTCTAATTACAACAGAGTCTTTGTTTTTCTCACAGTAAAATCTCCCCTTGCTCCATATTTTCACATTGAAGTATCCTTACCGACTCTCAAAAGGTATTTCTGCTAGTATTTATTGTCCCTTCAACACTAGAATCCTACTGCCAGCATTCTTAAACTTGAGACCTGTAGTGTTCCCTATTCATTCAGTGTGGAGCATCAGTGTATTTTCACTCCCCTCACATTAATACTCCTGTCCCACTGGACATCTACTGACTCCCGAGTCCTTCCAAGATTCCTTTATTTTTTCCATATCAGACTCTTCTCACTTTAAACATTATGGTAGGAATGCTTGTTTTTTCAAGCCCAGGACCTGACTCCACTTGTAACTTATTTCTCTTACATATTAACAAAGAGGTAGCTTACCCCAGGTGGGCTAGAATGGACTAGGGATGGAGATGACCCTCTTTTCCAATACAGAACTTTCATCTAATCAACTCTGTGCATCAGAATTTGAATTTTTCTCGCCTCCTTCTTAAATATATTTTGAAAAATGAAGACAGAGCCCTTGAAAATAAATTCCGTTGGTTGCCTTCATGGATATAAGCTTAGGCTATTTTTCTTGTATATCTCAGTCTGGTATTGAGATACATTAAAAAGACCATGCAATGACTGGGAAGTTTTCCTATTCTCAGATCTACCTTACCACTTTGGCTTTTTTGAATGATTGGCTGAAAGGTCAAAAGTTCAGCACCATTATTATGGTATGGACATTGCTCCTAGGATCAATGCCATAGTGTAAGCACTATTAAACATATTTTGGAGTTTTTGTTTAGTATTGTCTCACATAAGTTTTGCAAAAAAATCTTTTAAAAATTAATAACAATAATGCCTAACACTCATATAGTGTTTATGACAGAAAATGTTCTAAATACTGTAGGTACATCAACTCTATAAATTCATTTAATCCTCATAATATCTATATGAGGCAGGTACCATTACTATCCCCATTGTACAGATATATAAACTGAGGCACAAATGAGCAAACCAAGGCAAAGATCAAGTTATAACTGTGCAAATAACTGGCATTCTATAAGTTCCTATTTAGTCATATACTATTAAAAGCTGTAAAAAAAAAAGTTTAAGACTTATTTATTTTGTTGTATTTAACATACTTGCACAGCACTTGCTACATGCCAGGCACTATTTCGAAGTGACTACACACACACACACATACACACACACACACACACACACACACACACACACACACACACACACCACTCTTAATTCTTATAACAATCTTACAATGTATATGCTACCATCTTGCCCAGTTTAAAAACAAGTAAACCGAGGATCAGACATTAAGTAGCACACCTAAGTTTACAGAGCTAGTAAATAGCCAACCTTGGCTCACAACCCAGGCAGTATGGCTTCACAGTCCATGCTTTTAACCACCACACTCTCTTAACACCTTGTCTTCTCTCAACTAATACAGAGGTCAATACTTGTGACTTACAAGGCAGATGTAGCCTGCAAATGTATTTTATTTGGCCTTCACAGTATTTTCTTAACATTTTTTATCAGTTACCATTATTTAAATGGAAGACTTGACTTCCAATTCTGGTTCTACCAGTTCATCCTGCCATCATTATTTTATAATCTTTTAATAAATGAGCAGCCTGGGTTTCAGAAGGTTAAATCAAATTTTTCTAAGGTCATCTGTATAGTAAATAGTGGACAGCAGAAAGTCAAGTCTGCGTGATATCAAGGCCATGCCTTTTCCAACACAGCCAAATTAGCATATTTGTATTCCAACATGACTCAAAAAGTAATATTAAGGACCTAACTTCTTTCTAGGGATATAACTTGATGCCTCTCTCCCTAATATCAAGTTAGAGCTGAAACCACATGTGATATTTTTGTCCTATAAGTCTTAGAATTTGAATTCTGTCAGTTACTAGCCAGGTGGCCGTGGGAAAGTTACCTAATATTTCTCAGCCTCAGTTGCCTCATATGTACCTTGCTTATGGTTATTTATTTATACCACAAATACTTGCTTATCACTTACTATATGCCAAGCACTGCTGTTGTGAAGTCTAAATAATATGATGCCTGAAAAGTATGAATCATATTTCACAGCATATTGTAAGAGTCCATTAGATAGTAACTTGTTACTAATACTATTATTAATAAAAATATAAGGGATTCTTCTTGACTTAGAAAAATAAGGATCTTGGCTATTGTGAATAGTGCTGCAGTAAACATGTGTGCCCAGGTATCTTTTTTGTAGAATGTTTTTAATTCCTCCGAGAATATTCCCAGAAGGGGGATTGCTGGATCGTATGGAACCCCACATCTTTAAAATGAAATATATATATATATTTATATATATATAAAGAAAATAAGAAGCTTGGACTTTTAGAAACAAAAGAAAGTAATGGTATTCATTTAATTGAGATAAAGCTTACATAACATAAAATTAACCATTTTGAAGGTTAATTTCAGTGCCATTTAGTAAATTCACAGTGTTGTGCAATCATTACCTCTATGTAGTTTCAAAATGTTTTCATCACTCCAGAAGGAAACCTCATAGGCATTAAGCAGTCACTCCCTGTTCCCTCCTCCCCCAATCCCTTCCAACCATTAATCCGCATAATGTCTCCATGGATAAACCTATTCTGAATGTTTCATATAAATAGAATCATACATTATGTGTCCTTTAGTGTCTAGCTTCTTTCAATTAGCATAATGTTTACAAGATCCATCTACATTGTATCATGTCACGGTAACTTTATTCTTCTTATGGCTGAATAATATTCGTGTGTGCGCGCGCGCACATGTGTGATGATTTATTTATCCCTTCCTTCACCGACTGATTGACATTTGGGCTGCTTCTATTTTTTGCCTATTAATAGTGCTGTTACAAACATTCTTGTACAAGTATTTGTTTGAATATCTGTCTTTTTTTTTTCATATATACCAGGGAGATGGATTAAAATTATTGGGCTGTGTGGTGATTCCACATTTAACTTTTTGAAGAACCTCCAAACTAACTCTCACAGTGGCTGCACCATTTTATGTTCCTACCAGCAGTGTAGAGGGGGATTCCTCACCAAGACCTATTTCCTATTCGTTTTTTAAAATAGCCATCTTAGTGTTGTAAAGGGGTATTTCATTGTGGTTTTGATTTATATTTCTTTAATGACTAAAGAAGTTGAGAATATTTTCCTGTACTTGTTGGCCATTTATATATCTTCTTTGAAAAATATCTATTCAAGCTATTGCCCTTTTTTAAATTGGGATTTTTAAATTGAGTTCTGTGTTTTTCATTGTTGTTATCGAATTGCAATATTTATTTATATGTTCTGAATACTTGACCCTTATCAGATAAATTATTTGCCAATATTTATTCCATTTTATAGGTTGTCTTCATTTTCTTGATAATATCATTTGATACAAAAAGTTTTAAATTTTGACAAAATGTATATATATTTTGTTACCTGTGCTTCTAGTGTTATGTCTAAGAATCTCTT